CAGCAGCAGCAGCAGCAGCAGCAGCAGCCCTGGGGAAAAGAATAAATAAATAAATAAATAAACAAACAAATAAAACCTTGGCCTTTGTTCGTTTTGCATCCGTGGAGCCGCAAGGGTCATTCCAGGCACTTCCAGGGCTCCGCGGTACCGGGATGCGCTCGGGATGCTTGGGGCTTGGGGGTGGGTGTGCTGGGGGAGCCGCTGTGGTTTCTCGGTGCGGTTGAAGTTTCCTAGACACTAGGAAATGCGTGAAGGTAAGTGTTTTATACATCTACCCTGCATGGAGAAGGGTGAGGGATGTGCGGTGGTCAGAGAGGTGCCTGGTGAGCTGGGGCGGCCCCTGCCCCGACCTCGGCAAGAATGAACCGTAGGGAGGGGAAGAGAAGTGAAATAATATAGAAGGTACTTTCGAGAGCTGCAAGTTGACCTTTTTATTTTCTCTTCGTAAAGTTTTGGCCAGCAGCGTGGAAAATCCACGTTATCTGGAAATATTTTTTTTCAGAGCAACTTGTAGCTTTCTTCCAGTTATATATATATAAAAAAAATTGTAGCACTGGAAATATTATGAAACTTGACATTTATGTGTGGAACAGTAGGTGTCTTCAATCAAATAGATCTATGGCAACACAGACTGCAGATGACAGACAATTCTGACGGCCTTATTGGACTTGAACTGTAGTTTAGTTAGGGTCGTTTGGTAATTTTAAAGGGTAGTCTGCTTTTTTGCAGCTGGACAGAGATTGTGGTAAACAAGTTTTGACACACGTGCTAAAAACTATTCATGTTATTTCATAGTAAGTCAATGTTTATGCAAGACCAGACTTGGATTTCTATCTATCTATCTATCTATCTATCTATCTATCTATCTATCTATCTATCTATCTATCCCAACACATGTGCTGTAAACAAATAATAGTCACACATTCTCATGTGCTCAGGTCTGCTCCGGGTTGTAGCTTTGAAACTCTATCCTCTCTACGAGTATCCCTGACTCCAGGTTACTTTTCTCGCCCATAAAAGTTTCACATGTTTTTGTTATGTCTCCATTTGAGACGGCGGGAGGAAAGGTGGTATTACAGGGGTTGGGTACTGGTTTTGCTGCATATTCCAATCCACGTGTTTCTTAGCAGAGGATGTACAACTTTAAAATATGTGTGTATGTTCCCTAAAAAGGTTGTTTTGCCCTTACTCTTGTACGTAAAGTACTGCAACTCGCATGCAGTGATTTTCACGAAAGCTCCCTTGAAATTTGTGCTTCCAGGGAACTGTTGCAAGTGTAGTGAAAAGCACATGGTCAGTTGACAAAAAGCAGGTTTTAGATTATTACCGAAACCTATCGATTTTATCAAAGATGATCCATTAAAAGCTGGGGGATCTTAATCTCCTTTGACCTCCCCTCGGCAACTCCAGGACATGGGAAGCCACGTCTCGGGAAGGAGCAAGGCGATTTGAGGGTCCCTTTGCAACATTTCATTTTGCGCCAGTTAAGTTAAACTCAGCATATTTGATCAAATATTTATTTTTCCCCTTGTTGTTTCTCTGCCCCATTCAATGCTGGGCTGAATAAATCAAAGGGACCCCAGCAGCAGCTAAAGCGCCCTCTGGTTACGAATTGTTTACTGACGGCCGCGGTCATAGGATAATATTTTAAAAAAACAAGCTTGTTTCTTACAATAACTGTTTATTATTTCACATTATTTGAGTTTGCATGTTTTGGAGGGACGAGCCGAAGCCAACTCAGTGTCTACACTGTGTTTAATTAATCGTGTACTCAACTTCAGCTCACATACCACATCCAAACCCCTAGGAGGCTTTTTCATAAGCTCTTTGGGTTTGTGTTTTGTTGTCTTTTTCTTTTTTTCTGTCACAATCTTTTCATTAAACGCTCTGAA